TTTAATTAATGTTTGATTTATTGAAGCACAAACACAAAAACCAAGTTTTCCCTTAAGCCTTCAACTATAAAGTGAATTCTAGTTATAAATCTGGTAAATTTTAACACACTTTTTAAGGTGCTGTTGATAGTTGATCAACTCACACAGAAACTAAATATCCTTATATAATCCTATTTATAATCTTGGGTAAATTCTCTAACATACACTAAACTTCATTTATAAATTTACTAATTTCTATTTTAAACACTTTAATTGCCACTAACAAGTAAACAATTCTAAGAGCTTAACTCTAGGAAATACATTACAATAAAGGGATTTGTGTGTGTGTGTGAGGAATATTGGCCCTGAGCTAACATCTGTGCCAATCTTCTTCTATTTTGTCTGTGGGATGCCACCACAGCATGGCTTGATGAGTGGTGTGTATGTCCGTGCCTGGGATCCAAACCTGTGAACACTGGGCCACACGAACTTAATCACTGTGCAACCAGGCTGGCCCCTACAATAAAGTTTATTTAAAACTTTAAATAACTTTCATGAATGTTAATTTCTCTTAATCATTCCAATAGTTTCTAAATTTAGCCAAATACTTTCACCTTTGAACTTAAAATCACAAGTCAAAAAGTAATTACACAAGTATTCATTTTAAATTAGATTCACAAGGCTAATTTGTATGTACTCTAGTGGGCCTAATTCTCTGAAGTATAACAAATATTCTAAAGATCAAATACATTGATTATTCCTAAACTTAATATAAAAATATCAAAGCTAAGCATTTAATCAATTTCATCATTTCTATATTTATTTCAAATCTGACCATGGATAAAAGACTTACCCACTAAGGAAAGTAGTGATTCTCAAAGTGTGGTCCCCAGACAAGCAGCACCAGCATTACTTGGGAAACTATCAGAAATGCAAATTATGGGGCCCAAACTAGAAGTACTGAATCAGAAACTCTGAGGGAGGGGTCCAATATTTTTGTTTTAAGAAGACTTTCAGGTGATTCTGAGGCACTCAAGTTTGAGAATCATTGCTTTATTGTAGCCTCAACTACTCAGAGGCAGTTTTGTTCTAAAACACAGGTAATACAAAAGGCTTCAGTTCAGCTATCCTGCAAGATGAGCAGCAATTCTAAAATAGGTAAATCTACCTCATGCTTGAGAACCTCTGGACTAAGGAAACAATATTATGAACTCAAACTTGGAGTTACCATCAGAGCACACTCAGGTTGTTTATCAAGAAGAGATTCGTCTCCCCCTCTACCTCCCACCTTAGGAAATGAGATTAAGACTGCGGACATCAAGGGTTACCTTCCTCCATCACTGACGAACGCTGTGAGTTGTTTTTTTTAATAGTTACTGTAACATCTGGTACTCCAAATCTTTTAATTAGAGGCACTTGATCTTTCCTGATAGACTCCCTTCAAGATAAACCACTATCTAACTCTTCTAAATAATTTGCATCTGCAATTTCCAACCTAAAATACACCTAACTTGTCTAACACCTTCATTGGATTTTGCATTTTCACTTTGGTCATTTCAATAACTTTATAATTCTAAAGAAATTTCAATGACAATCCATCCTATCTCTTATCTAATCTAACTTGTTTTAATTTTAACACCATACATGATAGAATTCTGATTCTTCTCACTTTTTCCCCCCATCTGACAGGGCCATAACTCTTATAAATATAAAGGTAGCATTCAAATGGATTCTACATCCCTTATTTCTTTGTCTGGGTCAGTTTCTTTATCAGAAAAATGGGATAATAATGGTACCTATCTTACAGAGTTGTTATTAGGAGTAAATAAAAACATTTGCTAGTGCCTGTCCCATAGGAAATGTTCTTAGCAGCTATTATTCCTGTTGCCATTTCCCCCTGAAAGATAAGTTTTAAGTGCTAAAAGTAAACTAAAGAAAATTTCAATAGGACTGAGATGTGTTTAAAGTATACTGTCACCCAATGAGAAAACAGAGTCGACATAACAGGTCAGTTTATGATAAAAACTATAGTACAGTAAGTTGAGACTCTAAACTTGCTAAACATTTATTTACACTTATTTATTATCATATTATCTAGTAAATGCTTTTTCTTTTTAGATTGGCACTTGAGCTAACAACTGTTGTCAATCCTTTTTTTTTTTTTCCTGCTTTTTCTCCCCAAGTCCCCCCAGAACGTAGTTGTATATTCTAGTTGTAGGCCCTTCTGGTTGTGCTATGTGGGACCCCACCTCAGCACCTCCTGACCAGTGGTGCCACGTCTGTGCGCAGGATCCGAACGGCAAAACCCTGGGCCGCCAAAGCGGAGCACATGAACTTAACCGCTCGGCCATGGGGCCGGCCCCCAGCAAATACTTTTAAAGGCTACACATTATAGGCTTATTATGGTCATGCTTCCAAACAAGAGCTATACTCAAGGCCCAAAAATACTGTCTGAATCAAATCATAATTTACTCTTAAGCAGGAAAACGAATTGTATTATAAGGTGTTTCCTTTCCAATGTTATTAACTACAGCAACGGTGTGATAAGCTCCTTAATGTGTCTAAGTCCTAATTATGGTTTTCCTGAGGGGACTATAATGTTGGATTAAACGAACACCAAAAGCTGGTAAGAGTAAAAGCAGCCACCTTGGAGAGAAGTAAAGGAATCAGTAACACTAACAGTCTGGTAAGTGGTTTGTTTATAAAAGGAGTAAGACCAGAAACATTTGACCAAAATTTTATGAGGTTCATCCTTGATCTGTTAATGGTGAAACTATTTTATCAACACTATTACTGAACATGAAATGGTGAGGGGCAAGATCACTAACAACAAATGGGGTCCTGGAGTGCAGCCACTCTACATGTGTGGAAGTGTCTGTACAGAAATACTGCACAATACATAGGACATTGCAAAGAAGTGAAGGAAGGGTGACAGGCAACAGGAAACTTAAGCAGCTGTTATAAAAATCTGAAATAAGGCTAGTCACAAGCGGAAAGGGCAGAAGAAAGCCTTCAAACAGACTGACAGATATTCATTCTGAAGGACACAAATGCAAAGAGAAACCCTATAGTCAAAACCCATCTGGTAAGCAGCTGCAAAGAAAAGAGTTCTCATTTTAAGCAAAGCCTGGCTAGAAATTAATAACCATTTATCTTTTACTTGTATATATACATGTTATCTCTCAAAGGAGTCAATCTAGGAAACTAGACTTCTTCTAAGAATGGCAGGGGGTCATCAAATTATTGCTGGGGCACTTCTTTCTTGAACTGCCTTCAGAACTCTGTAGGTATAACTTCAGAGACCTAGGTTTTTACTTCCAAATGCTATCTTTTAGCTTACCACCCAATCATTTTCATCAGTTCTGTTGCAAATAAAAAAGAGCTCTAGAATTGAGAAACTCTGGCATCATCCAATCAACCTCATTTACAAACAAGAATATATAAGCCCAAAGAGATTAAGTAACTTGTACAAATTCTTTCGGCCAGTTAACGCTAGGATGTTCTTGCCCACCTCACTGTGGTCATAACTGTGACATCACAAAGCCTCTCTCACTTGTGTCAGAGACTTGGGGGCACCATGAATATTAAACAATGTGCCATGGGTTCATAAGGTTGCTTCAATTAAAGAGGAATTTGTATAGTATTTTGAAGCAACTCTGAAGGAGAGTGTCAGATCTGGCAGTGTGCTCAATAAATGTTTCTGAATGAATGAGTTGGATGTATATGTTTGGGGATATTTATTAAAATATTGACCATATTCCTTCCTGGTTAAGCTCCACCACATATTTCTCAATTCTCCATCTGTTAGAGGCTGGTCACATATCAACCGCTTTCAATTAGGCAACTGAAGACTCATTAAAAAAAAAAAATCCTTTTTTCTAACAATACTTGAAAGTTCCAGCACTCATCCCCGGTCCCACGCTTAAGACGACTGAGCATCTGGTTAATGTCCTTCAAAGTACAAAGTATCTCCCTTTTTCATGTTCTAATTCCATAAACAGGAATTCTAAAGACAAGATATTTTATGTAAAGTATGAAAACTTATTAAAAGGAGCCGTGCTAAACTGGATTTTAATATTCAAGTTTCTTCAAAGCTTAAATCACATACACACAGCTTAATAGATGTCCTCACTGTTCCACTGCTTTCAAACGAATGGCAGGATGTGAGATTATGGATAGATTTTACATTCTTTGTATTTTTCTTTATTTTCTAAACTCTCTAAGACTCATAAATTTACTCTCATAACACCAAAACGCATTACAAGTAACAAAAATAAGACAAAATATAAAAGACTAGGGGGAGGTCTGCCACTTTAGAGAAAGCCAAAGATACTGGACAAGTTACGATATGCGGTATGCTAATAGTTCTTCAGCAAGGCTTGTCCATAAGATATCAATCTCATGCCACTACGACTGACTCTTTTTAAAGAATGGTACAAAGCCATGAAGATTAAAAAAATAAATAAAAACATAACAGTCAGGATAAATGGTAACTGAGAAAAAAGTTTCTAGGTCCTGTCACCTCAGGACACAAAAGTCACCTCGGTTGCAGCGTAAGTGAAGCATTTTCTCTTGCCATGTAGTACTAAGCAAGTGCTGAAGTGACTCCAACAGTTGGCAAGTATCTAAGAAAAACATTGAGCCAAACCCAAAACAGGCCAGGCAGGGTGTCCTCACTGATTCCAGGACCCAAACCACCGGCGTCAGGGGCTCACCAGTCCCCTCCCAGGGGGAGGGCAAACGAAGGGCGCGCACCCCTGACAGACTTGCGGGGCAAGAAAGCTCGATCTCGGGGCCGAAAGCAGGAAGAGCAGAGCAGGAAGGGCTGCGCCGCCGCCAGCAGCAACGCTTCCGCGCCCAGAGCCCGAGCCGGCCGCGTCCTGCCCTCCCGCCGCCCCGGCCCCCGCCGCCGCCGGCCCAGGCACACCTGCCACCGCGCCCCCACCCGGCGCCCGGACCGCCGCCTCCCCCCGCCCTCAGTCCGGTCGGCCGCGCGGGAGGCGAAGGAAGGCTGGGCTCACCGGGTCCCTCCGGGCTGGACGGCGCCGGGGGCCGGTGGGGCGGGGCCCCGCACCCGGGGTCCCCCTGGGCGGGCTCCCTCAGGTAATCCTCGAAGCGCACCTGCCGGGCCTCGCCGCCACCCCCGAAGCCCCACAGGCGGCTGGCCGTGCCCCGCAGAAGGCGCCCGCTCTTGCCCGTGAACGTGGTCAGGTAGTCCATGCTGCGGCGGGGCAGGCCGTGGGGCAGAGCCCGAGCAGGCGGACGGTTACCGCGGCGGCGGCCACTAGCTGCGCGCCCGCCAGCCCGCCCGTCAGCCCGTGAGACCCTCAACGGGGGCGGCGGCTCCGCGCGCCTCACAGGAGGCGGGGAGGGGGAGGGGGCGCCCCGAGCCTTGCCCGGGGCGGACCATCGGGAACTACGCGTCGGGGGGACAGAAGCTGGCCAAAGTTTTGAAAAGTTTTTCTGATCGCTTCCAGACGCCAAGTCAGGGAAAACTTAGCTTGTGAAGTAGGTACATTCTTCCTGGAACAGAAGCTGGATCGGAAAGCTGGCGGCTTTGAGGCAAGCAGAATCGGTCCATCCGCTCCCCCCCCCCGCCCCACTCCAATGGAGCAGGCCTGCCCCACCCCGCCCCGCCCGGACCCGACCGGACTTTTGGGACTGCGGGAAAGGGCAGAGCCGGGTCTGAAAGTGGCCCAAGGGAGGCTTTGCTGCAGTTGCAGAGTCTGGGGGACTAGGAGGGCAGTGTCAAAAAGTTTGTGTGTGTGTATGTGTGTGTGTGTGTTAGGGGACGGGGTAACTTTGCAGCTTGTAATTTTGCGGGGGGGGGGGGTGTGCGGTGGGAGGGAGGAAGGAAGGAAGGTTAAAGATAAAAATGCAGTTATAGGTAAAATAAAACCAACCCTAAAGGATAAAATACTCCTTAGGAAGCATTATGAGACCCTCTTCGTCAAATAAAGCAGCATTAGTCACGTTGTAAGTTCGTTGTGGCATTATGAGCTGATGTTAGAGTTTGACATTGCATGAATCTGTCCTGTCAGGCAAGGTACAGACGGGCTTAGTGTGCAACCTTATGCTCCTTCAGGCCGAGAAAGCGCGCTGACTTTTGACAGAGATTTACTGCCGGATTTCGTGTCCTGTGAGATCTGGTTATTCTCTTGGTTTCAATTCACACCTGTTTATAGCTCTTTTAGTTCTTCCCACGCGTTAAATAAATAAACCCTCTTTCTCGGAATTACCAGTTTATTCATGTATTTGAAGGAAAAGTTTGAATTACTTAGGAAGTTGAACAGCTAATCATACCAAATAATAAAGTCCAGAAAATTTTTCAGGAACTTAAGCTTTCTACAAAACTATTAAAGATTTCCCCCCTCCCCTCTTTTTTAAATCATTGGATCTTTTTCCCACCATCACCATTTTCAGCTTAAATTTTTAGTAGTTTGGGCAGATTTCACCATTCTAACATCAGCATCACCTTTATACCTGGTTAAAAATATAGAACTTTAGGGCTGTACCCCTAGATTGTAATTCACAGTGTTTGTGAGAAAGGACTCAGGAATCTGCCTATTCAGCAATCATCCGCGTGTTTAGATGTGCTGCTTAGGAAAGCACTGGTCCAGACTTCCTTCTCTACCTCCTACAGGCCCATTTGGTAAGACAGTAAGTGGGTCCTGGTTTTTCTGAGATCTCTATTTGATAAGGAAGCATTACCATGCTTAGCACCACTTCTAAGATCTCAAAGAGGCACAGTAAACTTTAAAAATCGAATTGCAATGACTTAAGTTTAATTCTGATTAACTAAATTGAAATTCTTTTTCTAAGATATGTATTACATCTTGAAATTTGCCATTTAGTTTGTAATAAACATATCAAATTAGCGTTTTTTATACCTGATTAAATCTGCACTTTTAGGTCCAACTTTAGCAGGAACCTGTACTCTACCAGTTCAAATAAAGGTTTACGGGCAGTTAACCCATCAGTTTTTTCTGCTTTTATTTCATGGAAAGCCAGAGCTGCTGGAGAAAAATGTATAAGCTTGATGATTAAGTGCCTTACAATTTTTGATTTAAACTCAGCTAAGCCCTAATGTCTCCAAAATCCTTTTACTCATATAATCAGCTTTCTTTTTTATTCTTCACATTTGTTGTCTAGTTCCGAAATGTCACCGCTCTCCTGAAGTTACCAAATTCATCACTCGAACTTGTTACTTTGCCTTCTACCTGAACCAGAAAATCACAGGCCATCAAATATGAACACTCTCACTTTTCTTCCCTTTTTCTTTTCAATCTACAACAAGCTCATCTCCACATTTTGCCTCAGAAGGAAGTCCTTATTCCTGTCCATGCCTCTCCTTCTCCAAATTAATTCTTAATCTTATTCTGCTTTATGTTGTCTACGACTTGCCAGCCTTATTATTCTTCTCTGTTGTATTATTTTGCTCTCTCTCTCCTCCAGTTTCTTCCCCCTTATCCTACCTATATCATCCACATAAATCCCTCCCATCTTAAAAGAAAAGTTTCCTTATATGCTGTGCCTGCCTCTCCAGCAACTCTTTGCCTCATTTTAAAAATACCTTTTTGACATGATTTACAAACCATGTAATTCAGCTGTTTTAAGCATACAATTCCATGGTTGTTAGTTTATTTGCATAGTTGTTAAACCATCACCAAAATCTAATTTTTGAACATTTCTGTCACCCCAAAAAGAAGGGTCCTATCGATTTGAAGGCACTCCCCATTCCTGCCCCCAGGCATAGGCAACCACTAATCTACTTTCTGTCTCTATGGATTTGCCTTTTATAGGCATTTCCTATAAATGGCATCATATAATATCTGGTTTTTGGTATCTGGCCTGTTTAATTTAGCCTAATGTTTCTGAGGCTTATTCATGTTGTAGCATATATTAGTACTTCATTCCTTTTTATTGCCAAATAATGTTCCATTTTATGGCTATGTCACATTTTATTTAATCCATTCATCAGTTGATGGACATTTGGATTGTTCCTATGTTTTGGCTGCTATGAATAATGTGATGAACATCCATGTACAAATATTTTTGTGGACATGTTTTAATTTCCTTTGGTATATACCTAGGAGTGGAATTGCTGGTTCTTTATATATATATAAAACATAGTGTGTTTAACATATACAACATGATGATTTGATACAAGTATATATTGTGAAATGATTACCGCAGTAAGGTCAGTTAACACTTCCATCAATTCACATAATCATTTTGTGTGTGTGTGCTGAGAACATTTAAGATTTACCATCTTATCAACTTTCAAGTATATAATGCAGTGTTGCTAACTATAGTCACCATGGTATACATTAGATCCCCAGAATTTATTGATTTTACAATTGTAAAAAATTACAATATTTATTTTCCACCTGTAAATACAATTGTATTTAAACAATTGTAAGTTTGTACGATTTGAACAACATCTCATCATTTTCTCCAACCCCTAGGCCTTAACAACCACTATTCTACTCTCTGTTTCTATGAGTTCAGTTTTTTTAGATTCCGTATGTAAGTGAGATCAGGCAGTATTTATCTTTTTTTGTCTGACTTATTTCACGTAGCATAATGCCCTCAAGTTCCATCCATGTTGTTGCAAATGGCAGGATTTCCTTCTTTTTATGGCTGAATAATATTCCATTGATATTTATACCACGTCTTCTTTATCCATTCATCGAATGCTGGACATTTAGGTTGTTTCCATTTCTTGGCTATTGTGAGTAATGCTGCAGTGAACATGCAGGTGCAGATATCTCTTTGAGATAGTGATTTCATTTCCTTCAGATATATAGACAGAAGTGGGATCACTGGATCATGCGGTAGGTCTATTTTTAATTTTGTGAGGGACCTCTGTACTGTTTTCCACAGTGGCTGTACCAATTTATATTCCCACCAACAGTGCGTAGGGTTCCCTTTTGTCCAGATCCTTAACAACAGTTATGATCTCTTGTTTTTTGATGATAGCCATTCTAACAGGTGAGGTGATATCTCTTTGTGATTTGATTTGCATTTCCCTGATGATTTGTAATGTTGAGCATCTTTTCATGAACCTCTTGGTCATTTGTATGTCTTCTTTGGAAAAATGTCTATTCAGGTCCTCTGCCCATTTTTAATTGGATTGTTTGGTTTTTGGCTATTGGGTTTTATAAGTTCCTTAAATTTTGGATATTAACCCCTTATCAGATAAAAGGTTTGAAGATATTTTCTTCCATTCCTTAGGTTGACTTTTCATTTTGTTGATTGTTTCTTTTGCTATGCAAAAGCTTTTAGTTTATTGTAGTTCCACTGATTTATTTTTGCTTTTGTTGCTTGTGCTTTTGGTGTCATATCCAAAAACTCATTGCCAAGACCCATATCAAGGAGATTTTTCCCTGTTTTCTTCTAGGAGTTTTACAGTTTCAAGTGTTTAATCTGTTATGAGTTAATTTTTGTGTATGTTGTAAGATAGGGGTCCATTCTTTTGCATGTGCATATCTGGTTTTCCCAGCACTATTTATTAAAGAGACTGTCCTCTCTCCATTTAATATTCTTGGCTCCCTTGTCAAATATTAGTTGATGATACATGCATGGTTTATTTCTGGGTTCTGGAGTCTGTTCCATTGGTCTATGTGTCTGTTTTTATGCCAGTACTATAATGTTTTGATTACTGTAACTTTATAATATAGTTTGGAATCAAGAAATGTGATGTGTCCAGCTTTATTCTTCTTTCTCAGGATTGCTTTGACTATTTGGGGTCTTTTGAAGTTCTACATGAATTTTAGGATTGTTTCTTCTATTTCTATGAAAAATGCCATTGGAATTTTGGTGAGGATTGCATTGAATATACAGAATGCTTTGAGTACTATGTACATTTTAACAAGATTAATTCTTTCAATCCATGAACACAGGATACCTTTCGATTTTTTTTGTGTCTTCTTTGATTTCTTTCATCAAGATCTTGTAGTTTATAGAGTAGAGATCTTTCACCTCTTTGGTTAAATTTGTTCATAAGCATTTTATTGTTTTTGATGCTACTGTATATGAGATTGTTTTCTCTATTTCTTTTTCAGATAGTTCATTGCTAACATATATGAATGTAACTGACTTTCTATGTTGATTTGTATCCTGCAACTTTACGAAATTCATATATTAGTTCTAACAGTACTTTCATGGAGCCTTATGATTTTCTATGTATAAGATCATATCATGTGCAAACAGAGACAATTTTACTTCTTGCTTTCAGATTTGGATGCCTTTTATTTCTTTGTCTTGCCTAAATGCTTTGGCTAGAACTTCCAGTACTATGTTGAATAGGAGTGGTGATGACAGTGGGCATCCTTGTCTTCTTCCTGAACTTAGAGGAAAAGTTTTCACCCTTCCCCTGTTGAGTGTGATGTTAGCTGCAGGCTCGACATATATGTGGCCTTTATTTTGTTGAGGTACATTTCTTCTATACCCAATTTATTGGGAGTTTCTGTCACGGAAGTATACTGAATTTTGTCAAATGCTTTTTCTGCATCTATTGAGATGATCATATGATTTTTACCTTTCATTCTGTTCATGTGGTGTATAACACTTATTAATTTGCATACATCGAACCATTCTTGCATCCCAGTGATAAATCCCACTTGATCATTGTGTATGATCCTTTTAATGTGCTGTGGAATTTGGTTTGCTAATATTTTGTGAAGAATTTTTACATCTATATTCATCAGAGGTATTGTTTTGCAGTTATCTTTTCATGTAGAGTTCTTATCTGGCTTTGATATTAAGGTAACGTTGGCCTCATAAAATGAGTTTAGGAGTGTTTCCTCCTCTTCAATTTTTTGAAACAGTTTGAGAAGGATTGGTGTTAAATCTTTAAATGTTTGGTAGAATTCACCAATAAAACCATCTGGGCTGGGGCTTTTCTTTTTTTGGAATGTTTCTGATTACTGATCAATCTCCTTACTCATTATTTGTCTGTTCATATTTTCTATTTCTTCATGATTCAGTTTTAGTAGGTTGTATGTTTCTAGGAATTTATACACTTTGCCTAGGTTATCCAATTTGTTGGCATATAATTGTTCATAGTTGTCTCTTATGAACTTTTATATTTGTGTGTCATCAGTTGTAATGTCTCCTCTTTGATTTCTGATTTTATTTCTTGGAGTCATCTCTCCTTTTTCCTTAGTCCAGCTAAAGGTTTGTCAAATTTGTTTATCTTTTCAAAAAACTAACTCTTAGTTTCATTGATCTTTTTTATTGTTTTCCTGGTCTTTAGTTCATTTATCTGCTGTCATCTTTAATTCCTTCCTTATGCTAACTTTGGGCTAAGTTTGTTGTTTTTCTAGTTCCTTGAGGTATAAAGTTAGGTTGTTTATTGGAGCTCTTTCTTTTTCCTAATGTACGAGTTTATCACTGTAAATAAAGTTCCCTCTTAGTACTGATTTTGCTGTATCCAATAAGTTTTGGTATACTGTGTTTCTATTTTCATTTGTTTCAAGAAACTTTTTGACTTCTCTTTTGATTTCTTCTTTGACCCATTGGTTCAAGAGTGTGTTAATTTCCACATATTTGTGAATTTTCCTGTTTTCTTCCTGTTATTGATTTCTAGTTTCCTATCATTGTGGTATGGAAAGATACTTTGTATAATTTCAGCCTTTTTAAATTTCCTGAGACTTGTTTTGTGACCTAACATATGCTCTATCCTGTAGAATGTTCCATGTGTGCTTGAGAAGAATGTGTATTCTGCAGCTTTTAGATGGAATGTTCTGTATATGTCTGTTAGGTCCAGTTGGTCTAAAGTATAGTTCAAAACCAGTGTTTCCTAATGGATTTTCTATCTGGCTGATCCCTCCAATGTTGAAAGTGGGGTACTGAAGTCCCCTGCTTTTAATGTATTGTTGTCTATTTCTCCTTTCAGATGTTACTATTTTCTTAATATATGTATGTGCTCCAATGTTTGGTCCATCTATATTTATGATTGTTATATTTTCTTGATGAATTGATACCTTTATCATTTTATAATGATCTTCTTTGTCTCTTGTTATAGTTTTTGATTTAAAGTCTATTTTGTCTGCTATAAGTGTAGCAGACTCTTGCTCTCTTTTGGTTTCCATTTGCATGGAATATCCTTTTCCATCCTTTCACTTTTTGCTTATGTGTGTTCATTAAGCTGAAGTGAGTCTCTTGTGGGCAGCATATAATTGAGTCTTGTTACTTTTTATCCATTCAGCCACTCTATGCCTTTTGATTGGAGAATTTAATCTATTTACACTTAAAGTAGAGGGTAAGGACTTGATAAGTAAGGACTTATTAATGCCATCTTATTGTTTTCTGGCTGTTATGTAGTTCCCTTTTCCTTTCTCCGTCTCTTGCTATCTTCCTTTGTAAACTGATTATTTTCCATAGTGGTATACTTTGATTCCCTTCTTTTTATCTTTTGAGCATGGACTGTGGGTTTTTGCTTTGTGATTACCATGAATTTTAAATAAAACATGGTCTACTTTAAGCTGATAACTTAATTTCAATAGCATAGTCTCTACTCTTTTATTACTCCCCTCATTTTATATTTTTGATATCACAATTTACCTCTTTTTATATTGTGTATCCATTACTAAATTATTGTAACCATAGTTATTTTTAATATTTGTCCTTTAAACTTTTTACTACAGTTAATCACACCACCATACTACAGTATTAGAGTATTGTGAATTTGACTATATAGTTACCTTTACCAGTGTCTCTTATATTTTCATATGTTTCTATGTTACTAATTAGCATCCTTTCATTTCAGCTTGAAGAACTCCTTTTAGCAGTTTTTATAAGGCAGGTCTAGTGGTGATTAACTCCCTCAGCTTTTGTTTGTTTGGGAAAATCTTTATCTTGCCTTCATTTGTCAAGGACAAGTTTGTCACTTCATGGTAATCATGTGATATCTAGCTGGCAACTATCTTATGGGATAGAAATGTCAACACTCAAATTTCTGATGTGATAAGCAGAATCACTGATAGAATCAATAAGTGGACTGACACTAAGCAAAGACGTTTTATTAGTGTTAAGAAACAAAGGAATGAATCTATTATTTGCTTAGTGCATCTGGCTGTTAGTAAACCTAAAGCCTAACTTGGTAGATAGCCAGATTAACCTTTGACAATAACCCTTTCTTTATTCAAAGCCTTAGTGCTTCTTTCTCCACTAAAAGGGTTACGCTAACATTCAAACTGTTTTTCATATGGGACTCTCACTTGTTTCAAAATTACCACAGAGAGGAAGAGTATAGGTTGTTGTTTGGATACAACCAGGATCAAAGCTCTAAAGAGTATATGATAAAGATTTAATATGGCCTTTCAATAGAATGGGAAAGAGCTTAATATTCATTAAAACAAATTACCCTCTAGTAGTTGCCAACCCTGGATATAACCATTTCAAACCCTACTAAAAGCAAGTAACTTTTCTTAATTTGAAAACTGTCTAAAAAGTGTCAACTACCACACTTGTCAGAAATAACATATATAAGTAATCAAGACACGCAAAGATCCAGGAATACCATCACTGAGAATTATAATTGAAACTTAGATCATAATAACTCACATCAACTTACTATAGAATTTTTTCAGGATTACTTTTATATCCTATCAAAGAATATTATTACAATTATATAATTACAGGCCTAAATACTCTGTACCTGGAATGTGGAAACTTCTGACTTTGGGTCAGTTTCACTTAGCTCATTGAACAAGTGCCAAGAGATATTAACATTTATGACTGAAGTTGTAAAAACTTAACAAGGCTTTAAAAGTCTTTAGGGTCAATAGCCAATCAAAATCCCCAAAGAGGAGTATTATGCCATGAAGACAAACATGCATATTCTCATTCTATGGCAGGTTTCTTTCTCTGCCTGTACTCTGTGTGGGGTTATAGTAGAGTGTGTGTTTCTATAGATGGGACTGCATGCATAGCCATGAAGTAGTCTACCCTCTGTCTCTTTATCTTTCTTGACTCTTCCTCTCCACTCTTGTTCCACTTCTCTCTTAATTCTAAATTAGGGTTACATGTTGCTGCAACTTCTTAATTGTGTTCATGTTCTTAATCTAAAAAAAGCTGATAAGTGAAACATTTGGATGTATAGTATATTAAATGCTTTATTTTAATATATTAACCTTAGGTATTAATAGCAAATATTTTAAAGTTATATTTTGTTATAGTTTTGGAGAGGTTTTAGCCTAGAATGTATTAGAAATAATTTCCCTATCTCTGCTCTGTATTTTTAAAAAAGCTATTAGAAAAATATAAATGCAAAAAGGAAAACAAAGAACAAAATAATTTGGGAGAAACCTAAGCCTGTTGCTAGTTATTACTTTTATGCCAAAATGTCAGTTTCCAGCTTCAATGTATAGCTGGTAATTAAGTAGTTTTGTTTCTGTTTTTTTCTTTTTCCTCCTGTTTGTAGGGTAGGAGATTGAACCCTGGGATCTATCAATAGAAGACAAATGAAGCATGGCAATGAAAAGAGAACCTGCCTACCAGTCCATCTATCTCTCCTAAAGAAAGTGCTGGGCAGTAATGCCAAATTCTATCAATATTCCATTTATTTTAGCCATGGTACATGAGCAGCAAACTGGTAAGTGCTGAGCATAATATTTGAAAGGAAGAGGGGCTGGCTTCATGACCGAGTGGTTAAGTTCACGTGCTCCGCTGAGGCGGCCCAGGGTTCGGATCCTGGGTGGGGACATGGCATCGCTCGTCAGGCCACGTTGAGGCGGCGTCCCACATCCCACAACTAGAAAGACGTGCAACTAAGATATACAACTGTGTACGGGGTGGGGGGGGGGAGTTGGGGAGATAAAGCAGAAAAAAAAAAAAAAGATTGGCAACAGTTGTTAGCCCAGGTGCCAATCTTTAAAAACAAAAAGGAAGATTGGCAACAGTTGTTAGCCCAAGTGCCAATCTTAAAAAAAAAAAAAAAAGAAAGAAAGGAAGAGAACCTGTTCCTCTTTCCCAAGTGTATGGGGGTTCCCTAACTCCCCACCTCCTCATCCCAAACACCATTTTAAAGAAATGCTAATAATGCCAGGTGAATCAGCCAAAGTCCAGGCAGCATAAAGGAGAGAAACCCAAACCTGTATGGTCAATCCTTAAATGATCCAGCACTGACCAGATAAGTTTAATTTTCAAAAGAATCACGTACTGGTCATTTTCTCCCACTGCAGATCTACTCAACTCTCAGTCTTCACAGGAGGCAGTAGACACAGCAATATAACCAGATTCTTTGCTGCACTAACAGGCATGAAGGAATGACCACTTCCAGCTACCTCTCAAGAGAGAAACAGGCCGCACCCACCTACCTCACTCCCCACTCCTTATCCAGGGACTCCTGTGAGTGCTGAACTGGCTCTACCAGCCAACACCAACAGCAGCAGTGGCATGCAAAACATTTATTGAATGAAGTGAACAAGGACTGGTTGGCAACCACTTTGTGCCTAACCTACTGGTATCCTGGGAGTCAAGGAAGGAAGGAGTGGGGAGGAGATTCTTAAAATATACAGAGAAATTTACAACAACACTGTTGGGCTCTCAGATTGAGCTGGTCCTGCTAACACACTGCATGATATATAAGCACATGCATTTCTGTTTGCTCAGTAAACCCTATATGTTGTGTGACATGAAATACCCCAGCATTTAGTTTCTCCCCTCTTTAATCCACCTGCAGCACTGCAGCCAGTGTAATCTTAAATCCACAGATCTAATTGTTGCCTTTCCTCTACTTTAAAAACACTCCTTGTTCACAGCAGTAGCTTCCTGTTGATAATGAGAATCAGCTGTGGAACATTTTTAAAAATGCAAATTCCCCAACTATATCCCAGAGATCCTGATTCCAGGGTTGTAGAGTGGGGCTTAGAAACCTGTATTTTTCAGTTATGAGCTGTGTTTGAGCTCTGCTCCTTTATAGTTCTTCCAAGTGTTTTTGCATCTGTAGTTCATGTAAATCACACATTAACTTCTGAAACAGGGCCACGAGACTAGTTTTGACAAACACTGAGCAGAAGTGATGTATGTGTTTTACACTCACCTGTGTAAAGAACAGCTTCTGTGTAAAACAGCCAATGTTTTGCACCCCAGATGCCTCTGCCCCTGCCTCAGCAACCAAGGACATTCACTACCTGCTCCAGATGGTGCAGCTACGAGATGGTGGAACCATCTCCAACAACCTGGATCTTTGAAGAAACTATGTGGATCAGAGCCCCTCCCCCCAATTTCAACCTCAGTTGGACATGTAATATGAGCAAGAAATAAACAATTATTATAGCAAGCCACCGAGGTTTGAGGTTCATTTGGCACCATAGCATAAGCTAAGCCAACCTTGATTGATACAAGGGTTTTGCAAATGCTTAATTTATATTTATTTTTATCACATATGCCAAATTAATGTACTAAAGAACCAGATTTATGTTTTCAAGTTAGTGCATTTTGTTTTTCAGGCCTCTCTTGGCATTTCTATATTCTGATGAGTATTCTGAGATTGTGAGACTATTAATCTTTTTATCATTTAAACTATGTATGTGAATAAGGATTTTTCTTGACATTACCCAACCAAAAGCAAGCAAACAAACAAATAACCAAAACACAATGAGTAGAATGCTGAGGTGCTGATGCTAAAAAGAATCCATCAATCATCCATCACTTGCACTTTAAAATTTTGGTTTCAGGGGGCTGGCCCCGTGGCCGAGTGGTTGAGTTCATGCGTTCTGCTGCAGACGGCCCGGTGTTTCGTTGGTTCGAATCCTGGGCGCGGACATGGCACTGCTCGTCAAGCCACGCTGAGGTGGCGTCCCACATGCCACAACTAGAGGGACCCACAACAAAGAATATACAACTATGTACTGGGGGGCTTTGGGGAGAAAAAGGAAAAAAGTAAAATCTTTAAAAAAAAATTTTTATTTTCAGTCATATCAGCCTAATTCTCTCAATATATGTCTTTATAATCAGAAAATATTATGAATTTGAATGTGTAAAACACATGTATGCTCATAAAATGCCATTTGTATGTTTTATATTTTTTTTGTAGAACTATATTAGAAAAAGTTTGAAAAGAATTGCTTTTAGAGCTACGAAGACTAAGTCTCAATTCTCTTTCACGTGATGCCCTTAATATATTAATAGCAACCCATTAGACCTGATAGCAGCCTTGGTGTTTATTTAGTTGAACCTATTATTTTTATTGATTTGTTAGTCAAGGCCCAAAGAAGTCAAGTGAGTCTCTCAAGGTCAGACACTTGGAGAAGAATGAAGCCAGAAGACCCCAAGGCTTTCCTGCAGGGAGTGCTGCCATATGAAGTGCTCCATCTCTGACTTGAGCAATTAATTGTGACTCTCTCAATTCACCCAAACATTTGTTGAAGTGGCATAATGTCCCATAAAGTGTTTTCCAGATGTGAAAGCTAGGTCAAACTATTTTTGAGATTTAGCTTTCTTATCTGTAAAATATGAGCAAATAATGTCTATCTTGTAGCTCTATTGTGATTAGAAAGGATATCACATATATACAGTGGTAGGCCTATTGTTCTTTGGCCTTAAATCAACATATTTAGATTTATTGCCTTCAGATTTTAGTCTGTACTTCTAGATCAGGGTTCAGCAAAGTATGGCCCATGGATGAAATCTAGCCTGGCACCTGTTTTTGTAAATTTGTTTTTATTGGAACACAACCACATCCATTCATTAGTGTATTGTCTGTGGCTGCTTTGGGGCTACAATAGCAGAGATGACTAGTTGTGACAGAGACCTTATGGTGCAAAAACCTAAAATATTTACTCCCTTGCTGTCTTCAGAAAAATTCTGCTGACTTATATTCTAGATTGCTGAGAGCATTTTCAAACAACTCTTGATTCTTTCATCCACAGTTCATTCAATATTTCTTTCAGTGAGTCAGACACAAATTTGTCTCTATTCAAGTTTTTACATTTAATGAGACATGGGCAAGGAGAATAACAGGGCACAGTACTGTCTTCATGGTTAACGATGATTACCACTCACTGGACACAGTTATCTGAAGAAGTATGAATTCACTGAATGATACCATCTCTCAGTTCTCATTTATCAACAATGTCATGCATTTGGTAAATGCCTTTCTAATATGCAGAAGAAGATGAGGTGCAGACTCCAGGTGATCACTGTTTTCCTCCTCCCAAGTGATTTCAAACCTATGTTGTTTCTATATCCTTCAACTCCATTTCAACACCATTTTTTTGAAATGTGAATTATTCGTCTAACTACAATTTGCTAGCAGATCTCCTATTATCTGGGTAGAAACTCGTTTGCTGCCACCAAACCTGATGATTATTCTTCCTGGGCACACTACATTTCCCAGCTTTCCTTTCAATCAGGGGTGCCCAAGTGACCGACTTATACCCAATGGAAGGATTGCAAAAGTGACATGTGCTACTTCCAGGCCTGACCCACAAGACCATCCCATTGGTGACCCTCCATGGTCTTATCCTTTCCACAGCCTGGAAGTAGATAAACAAGGAGACCTGAGAAGCCATTTATTAAAGATGGCAGAGCCATGAGATAGAAGGAACCTGGGTCTCTAAATCTACCCTTCAAGGAGAGGCACCCACCACTCAGGAACACTAATTTCGGTCTTGAACAAGAAGTAAACTTCTATTGTATTTAAGCCATTATATATATTTTGAGGTTTGTTATAAAAGCGAGTGTAATGATACACTATCATTCCTATAATATTACTACCAAGGGTTCTGTGACCACATAAGAAAATATCCTGATAACTCAGTTTTCTGAACCAAGAGGTTACAATTCTTGTCAAGTGGATATGGGTAGTCTTGCACTACATCCTCACTAACCTTAGCCTACAAATTTCCATTTCATGGTTTTTGTTCTGTACTTTCTAGTAGCTTATTCTTCTTAATTGAGAAACATAAAGCAAAATAGGCATTACACTTGTTCTTCCTTTTTATAGTCTATTAAACAATGCATATCTTCCTCAAAAAGAGACCCTCAGACTTCCTTCTTGTTTTCCTTTATTCTAGGACTTCCCTTTTCACACAATGATCCTAGTTAGCTAGTTTCTTGAGAATTTCTAAAACCTCACTGTGTTTTGGCCTTCTTTCACTCTTTTTACAGTTTTATGCCATGCTTGTAACTCATCCTTGGTAATATGCCCTTCCTACTTATACCTCTTCTAAGAGCTAAGCACAGAGAACATCTTGTCAAGTCACATTGGTTTCTCTACATTTTGCTTTCTTATTATTTTTGACTTTGTTTGATTCTTTGGAATGCTACCATCTCTCATGTAGGCCTTAGTTCTAGACTTTGAAATTAGATTAAAATGTCTTATTTGTTACTGTCTGTCTCTCCCTACTAGCATTCATCAAGGACAGGGACTTCCTTCACTGCTTAGAACATAGTGGGCACTCAGATATTATATTTGTTGAATGAATGAATGAATGAAATTATGTCCATCTTTTCCCTAAATTTGATCCCAACCCACTTTTCTACAATTCAAGAATCAGATGTAATTGAGTCAAGCTTACTCCCTTTCTTCATTATTAAGGAGTACCAATTACCCGATACTTTTCTCTCAAAGAGTGGTTCTCAGCCTTGGCTAGACATTTTAGGACTCTTGTGAAGCTTTTGAAAATCCCAATCCTTAGGCCAGACTCCAGATCAATGAAATCCTGCTCCCTCAGAGTTAGGATACAGACATTAGGGAGGACACTCCCCAGGTGGTTTCAGTGTGCGCCAAGACTGAGAATCACTGCAGGGCTCCTGTTGTTTCCATAATACAGTCTTTCTTGTTAGTAAAAATTAAGTCCAGAGACCAGTAAATATTATGACACCACTTGGGAGGGATCATTAGATTGTAATAACAACTACCTATCAATCGTTTACTATGCGTACTATGCATCGTACTAAGCATTTTTCATGCATTATTTCCTTTGGATCTCACTTCCACACTGTGACGGAGGTTAATGAGCCTCCCTTTGCAAACAAAGTTATTGGGGTCAGAGAGGTTAACAGAAGCAACATTGGAATCAGGTCAGTCAAGAGCCTCTCGGGTGTTTGCTCTTGACTTTCTGAGACCTACAGCAGAGGGTTTTTCAGTCAAAGGCAATTTTGCCTCCCAGTAAGTTTTCTACATAAAATATAGGACTCCCAGTTAAATTTGAATCTCAGATAAACAACAAATAGTTTTTTACTACAAGTCTGTACCAATTGTTTCTTGGAACATATTTATGCCCAAAAGTTATTTGCTGTTTTATCAGAAATTCAAATTTACCTGGCTGTCCTCTATTTTTTCTTGCTAAATCTGGCAACCCTACCCCCAGGAAATATTTAGCAATGCCTGGAGATATTTTTGATAGCCAAACTGAGGGTGTACTACTGGCATGATTGAGGCCAACGATGCTGCTTAAGATCCTACAATGCTCAGGATAGCCCCCACATCAAAGAATTATCCAGCTTCAAATGTCAAGAGTGCCCAGGTTGAGAAAGACAGATCTAGTAGATGTTTGGAAAAGATTAAGCACTCCTATAACCACATCATGCCTCTGGCAACTTCTGTAGTCTGCCTTCAGAGAGCCTTATTTCATCCTGTGTCTAGCTAAACTAATATTTAATATTCTCTTACATTTGCACTTTAGTATGTTGTGCATGGAGAGAGCATACTTCTCTGGATTCTGACTCCTCTCCATCTCATTGCAGAGAAGATGTGGGACAGGCTATTGCCGCTTCCCAATATATCTTTCTGTGCTTTCTTTTCAGCACCACATTTCACTTATAGCTTCAAAATCTATGTGGTCCTAATTAAGACAGCCTACTCTCTGAAGTCCTCTTGGTACCAATTTGACTTAGCTGTAATTAGAACAGAAAAATCTGGGGCTGAAGGAAAGGTGTGATAAAAGCCCATATGGCAAAAGGAGAAGAGAGCTGGGTGCAAAATAGTTTAGTGCTAATAGAATGATGCTTCTTTAGCTAGCAAATTTGTATTTCGTGAATGCCATTAGCATTACGGCAAGTAGTGGATAACTTCTAAAGTCATACTACCTTGCTGATGTTTTCTCAAAACTTTGAGAAAGAATATTGAAATGAATTTTACCTCAGCGACTTTATAGAACATGCATATTAGCTTGTCAGGAATGAAACTAAGTAAATTTACTTTACAATATGCATATTTTCTAGTTTGATTTTGGAATCTGTAAAAATATGCTGGATATTCTTTCAAGTATTGTGATCAAACATAGGATGTATTTGGTGCAGTTTTAACTATGTCTTCAAGAATTTGAGTTTAAACATT